AGAGGAAGAGGAAAAAAAACATATATATGTGCATAAGCAAGAAAGTAGAAGTGGAATATTATTGATGATAACATGCTTGATTGGGTCACTGTGCAGTTTATTCTAGATGGGAAATTACATTTAGTACATTGTGATGATGCTCAGGGAATGAATGTTAGGGAAAAAAAAAAAGAACGAAAACAAAAAACAAACAAAAAAAAACGGTTAAACTATTCGTACCATTTAAAAAAAAAAATTGGATATTTGATGGCTGCAGTGAGCGGTATGGGCCCAGTTGGGTTCTACTTTATAGTATGCTCTTTTTACCCAATGGGGTTTAGGCCTAAAGTCAGACTTGAGTTCATGTAGAGGCATGTGTCAGCTGTGATAACTATTGGAGAGACTTAGACTAATTAAGATCACTGACAGATCATTTGGGGAGGGGTGAGGCACGGAGGGCAATCGGGGATGACAGGGACAATGTGGGAGGAGGATGGGTCATAACAGAGGGAGGGGGATGGGGAATCTAGGATGGTAAAACAAAAGGCAAGGTATGCAGGACACAAGAATTGGGAAATTATTTGTTGAGAACATATATGTTGACGTGCTTGATTGAGCCAACGCACAGTATATATTGGATGGAAAATTCATTTGTGTGTTGCGATGGGAAAAAAAAATTATAATAAAAAATAAAGAAGAGGATAGAAAGATAGCAAGTGAACAATAGAGAGGATGTTAGTGAGAAACAGATATGTTTTATTATCTGTTGATGATGACGTTATAGTATTCTCAACTGGACTGGTCTGGGAAGTATTTCATGATGGGTGAAGTCTTTTAACAAGCAAAATGAGAAATAGTGATTGACTGTTTTAAAAAATTATAATAATAATAATAATTATTGGGAAATGCATGGAAAAGACATTGAATGATAAAGCGGGGAGATTGATGTCTCTGTATTGACTGACATGCATGGCATTCCCTTTTGAAAAAGCAATGGAAGTCAATGTAAAGTTATATGTAATCCAATGTAATATAAAGAAGATTATGATGATTAAAAAAAAAAAAGTATACGGCCAGCAGGTGATGTGGTTAAGGCACTAGACAGGCCCACATGGCTGACCATGGTTTGAGTCCTGGACCTGGGTGGGTGGCTTTTTCACCCCCCCCGCCCCCCCTCTCATCTATTTCTGGTCAAATTTGAATGAATAAATTATTCCTAGAAAGAAAGTATATGGAAAAAGGAATTAAAGTATGGGTCTATTTTAGTACAAAATATAAAGAAAACAAAGATACACTGATTTTTTTTTTCATACTATACATTTTACATAAACTTTCTAAAGACTCTTATGTACCGAGAAGGTAGAACTGTTATATCAAACTTGATGTCCTTTTGCCTGCAGAAACAGAAGAGTGTGAGGAAGAAATCCTCAAATGGAGAGAGCTCTACAATGAAACCCTGAAGCACTCAAGAATGGGAGAGACTCAAGTTTGAGTCCAACTAAGGTAATTGTCTAATAAGTCCCCAAATCAACACTCTTGAGAGAAATGAAATTGAGTTTCCAAGACAACATTCAAGGATGCCTGGTCTGACTAGCTAAAGCAAGGTAGAAGGCTGTCACCATGCAACCTGTGCTACTACTCATGTCTGCCTTCAGATAGTTGTGGGGGAATTCTCCCCCACCCTCTTCTGAGTGGAGAAAAGGAGAGAACTCTCTGAAATTTGGAACCCTCAACCTTCCACTATGAATTCCAGCACTCAAACGCACAAAAGAGTAAGGAGCACACAAGTATATAGCTGCAGAAACCTACACCCCCTCCCCCCATTAGGATGAAGTGAGCACTTCACCAAATATCTAAAAGTCAAATCAGACCAGAGTCCTCAGATGTAGGAGGAAACCAGGCAGTATCTCTCCCTCAAAGGAACAGAGTAACTCCCCAGCAAGAATGGAAAGAACACTACAAATCACAAGTCAGAAAAAGAACTCATAGAAAACAAGTTAGTTAGCATTACTGATGCTATACCTAAAGTAAGTTTTGGCAGAAATTCACTATTTCAATGATCTTTCCAATTCAATACGTTTATTTGGGCACATTCCCACAAGTGTTAAGTCTTAAAACTTCAAACTAAAGTCATCTATTGAGTTGTGGGAAAAGTCATGACACAGTTTTCTATGCAAAGACTTTTCCAACGACCCAATATATCATATGGCACAGAATTCTGATGTGATTACCTAAGACCATTCACAGCTTTGAGAAACAGTTTCTGCTGGAACTCTTTCTTGCACTTCATGTAAGGTTTTAAGAAATTATCCTGCAGACATCTATATTGTGTTAGTCACTACCTTTTTTGTCTTAAACTGTCATCACCAGGCATATGGTAAAATTCAATAAGTATTTAAGTTAATTCATTAGAAAATCACTCCTTTGAAATTTTCCCCTTGATAATGAAGACATTTTCCTGAAAATATGTATTTGCCTCTAAAATCCCAGTTTTAAACTCATGTAAAGGAATAATGATGGAAGAGGTTATCTATGTACACACTGGTATCTTTTGAACTTAGTGTCATAGTTTATTTGAAAACTTAAAAGGTTAACATATTTTGTGATTTTCAAATTAATGAAATTTATGTTTCCAGCAACATGAACTAGATGAATGGCATTCACTGCAAAGACAACAAGGATGTATCAATGCAATTATTGAAGAAGAAAGGCTCAAACTCCTGAAAGAACATGCTACAAAATTACTAGGCTATCTCCCTAAAGTAATGAGACTTATCTCAAGTACAATCTTCATGATCACTAACGGTAGAGAAAAAGATGGTATGGTCAGCCATGCACTACTTAATGAGGATGGTGCTTCTGTAAATATGCCATGTATCCTAGGCTGTGCCGCCTACATTTATGTAAGTACCTTTTGTGATGTTCACATGGCAATGAGTTTGCGCAACGATGCATTTCTTAGAACCTATCCTTATCATGAAGTGATGCATGACTTTGTCTTAGGCCTTCCGGGGGCCTACGTTTCATGCAGTTACCGTGTTATGAAGTGGCACTGAAATTCTCTTGGTCCATTATTAGAGAGAGCCATGAACTAGATTTACTTAATTTTTACTTTAGGGGTTCATTTTTCTTTCAGCATAGGAGGTCTAAAATGGAACTACCCTAGAGTAACTGTACTACTGTATATATCAGAAATGGTGATATCCATGGAAATAAACATTGTAATGGATAATACCAGTGACAAGCACATGCCTGAACTGAGTCAGATCTGCTCTAGTTATAACTAGGTAAATTTGATTTTCAAAAGTAATTCAAGAAGGTCTGAGATGTACATGAAAATTTGCTGAGTTTCATAGACTACACATAAATATCTAAAGAAGAATACCATCCATCAAATATATTTTTTAAAAAAGGAGAGATTATTGCTTGGCCACCAAATTTTCTGGGTTAGACAGGATAAAAGAGTACAAAACAGTGGTTTTATCAGAGACAGATGGAGGGCCTAATAAAGTTGGTATCCAAAAATGATCATACCCTTTCAGTTCTACTGATCCCAAGTAAACCAAATTCTTTTAACTTGCAAGATTATTTCATTTTGTTTTGAAGAGCCTGTGCTATATTCACTAAATGGGAAAAGAAAATTAAAGCACATCAAATAGTTTAACTCAAAATCTGGGTTTGGTTCTTTCCTACAAAATTAAATATTTGCTAATTTGTAATCCACTGAGGCATGAAGAACCAAGCTTATGCATGAATCTAAGTCACTTCATCCATGACATGTTTTACGACAAAGGTGGGTGATGCATAGAAAAATACATCATGGCTTTTCTGATGACCCAACACATAAAAGTTGATGAATGAGGAAAGTTAGTCTGAGAATATTCAGTATATATAGACAGTAATTTATAAATTACTGTCATCTTATTACCTTAAGAGTGAGAAAATATTCAAAAATTTTTTTCTTGTAGGGAATATTTAAAGGTTTTTCTGAAGTCTTCACCAAGTAAATCATCCTATCAAAAAGGGCAGGAAATTTGTGAGGAGAAGTGAGTAGTGTCAAGACTTGGTAACATAGTGAAGAATCCAAATTTCACCACTAGATGTCAGCATAACTTAACACTTCAGGGGCCGTGGGAATCCATTATCTATTTGGATTTCCGGAAACATCACAGTATAATTTGTAAACAATTATCGGATTTTAAAAACTGCAAAATTACTGTTATTTCTGTACATCTAAATTCTATTACTATTAGTAATTCCATTACTATTAGTGACTCTAAAGTGAACTATATGTTTAGAATTTGGCTTTAAAGCATTTTGTCCGTCTACTATAGTAAATAAAGAGTAAAGAACTTCAAAGTGTTTTATTACCTAATGTGTTTGTTATATTAAGAACTCTAAAACAAAGTGCTCTCACACTATAATTTATGTACTCGAATGATTCTCTAGAACACACTTTCGAGTGGAGTTGTGAAAACAGAAAAGGACTGAGCAGGTTATAAGAAAGACAGCAGAAAACACTTAAAATATTTTGTATTTGACTAAAGTTGTAGAAGACCTGAGCAATGATCAAATTGATATTTCTAGAACCCTACACTTCATTTCTGTAGAAGCATGTTCTTTATGAGGTTTTTGCTACAGGGTGTGTGTGGTTGCCAGAGACAGAAAGCAAGAAATCACCTCCCAGGGGAGATGGACAGGCATGCTAGGCATGAGTTTAAGCCACCGGGCCCGGCCCTGGAACCACAATCGACTACATGGGAGTCCAGCGACATAGCCATTCCGCCAACTGCTGGTCCCAGAAGCACATTCTTTTTGAAGTGCATGTGAGATATTTAGCATTACAGCCCATATTTTGGGCCACTAATTTCAATACATTTTTAAGACAGTGAAATTACGCAGAATATGTTTTACAACAAAAAGGAAATAAATTAGAAACCAATAGAAATATCTAGAAAACCCCTGAATATTTGAAAACAACAGACCTAAGAATAAATCAAAGTAAATTATAAAACCTCTTAATACAACAGAAAAAGCTGGAAAAAGAAATCAATGGGACATAAACTAAGAAAAGTAACATAAGACAGTATCTGCTTTATTAAAAAGAATGATTATCAAAATAAAAATGTCATTAATCTAATCAAGAAAAAAGGACTCTCTAACTTTTCTGTATGTTTAACAATTTTATAACAGACCCCTCCTTCCAGCCCAACAACCAGCGAAAAGCCATAATCCATGTGCATCTGAGGTGGGCTTTTCCTGCCCCTTTAACGAGAAAAATCTCTCACTCCCAAGGGGAAAGAACAACCCTTCATCATCCACAGAGAGTAGAGTGGAACTCCTAGAAATGTCACATAAATATTTTAGGGTATTCATAGTGACAAAGCTAACAGAGATGCAGGAGAAAAGAGACAACGAGATCCAGGAGGTGAGGAAGTTATTCCACAATCTGAAAGAGGAAAAGGAATTAGATGGAACTGTTAGAGATGAAGGCTGTACTATAGGAGATAAATTCACCAAAAGACTGAGAAAATTTAAAAAATGAGAATATACAAGTAATACTAGATACCATTAGATGCCCAAACATCTGGATCATTCCCAGAAGGTGAAGAAACTAATCAGTGCATTGATAATCTATTCCATGAAATCATGGAAGAAAACTTTCCGAACCTAGAGGCATTCAAATATCCAGACTCAAGATATATAAAGGACCCCACATAGAATCAACCCAAGATGATCTGCAAGACACATCATAGTCAGATTGACTAAAACCATAGACAGAGATAAGATACTAAAATTGGCAAGAGAAAAACGTCAAATTACTTTAAAAGGATATCCCATCAGGCTAACATTGGACCTCTTGTTGGAACCAATGCAAGCAAGGAAAGAATGGGAAAATAAAAGTGTTAAGTGAAAAACAATTTCAACAAAAAATACTGTATCCGGCAAGATTATCCTTCACATGGGAAGAAAAGGAAAAAACATTCTCACATAAACAACACCTGAAAGAATTTATCAACACCAGACCAGCTCTTTGAAAAGTTCTGAAGGGAGTACTATACAAGGAAAACTAAAGACAGACAACTAAGAGAACAAAAAATGACCAAGAGAAAGACCAACTTAATGGTAGGGACAAGTTCTGAAATATCAATAATAATGCTGAGTGTTAATGGAAAGGTCAGACCACAGTAACACTGCAAATTCAACAAAAGATCACACAAGACTAAACTAGTGAAATAAATTCTATGACTTTTTTCCTAAAACATTACTGATTTTCTTCTATGCTTTGTCTTCCAGATTTAAGGATTTTTGTGTTCTTTTGAGCGATGGGGTTCAGCATTTTGTTAAAGAATTTTTTTAATTGAAAAACTCTTTTCTCCCTTCCTGACCCTTTTGCAATTGGAAAATATTTGTGAGCATTCTTATTCTGTGGCAATTATTGTGTAAGTTCAATAATACAATAGTATCTGTTGCCTTATATCAGACACTGAATTCTTATGGGGCTTTGTGCAAATAACAGGCCAAATTGAGGATTAACTTTTTTTTTTTTTTTTGGGAAATAAGTTAGTTTATACCTCTCTTTAGTAAAAGGGGGAATAGAAAGAGAGTAAAATTGTTTAAAAAAAATTACAGTGCACTTGTCCCTAGATTCTAGCTTTGTCCATACTTTAAGATGTTTTGTGAATCAATAAAATGTGAAAAAAAAAAAGTTCAATATGGAAGGGAGGGGAGGGGAAAAAATTTTTATGAGCACTGGGACCCTAGATTAAGGTTAAAAGTACCTAACAGTAAGGAAGTAGTGCTGGAAACAAGTAGGAACAGCTGCTAAAAATGAGTACAGAATGCAGTTACTATTTTCATGGCAGACAAGGCAAAGGTAGGTAGACATTACGGGCCCAATGAGCATTCCAACTGGTTAGAACTTAAAGCTAAAATACTTACTTAGTGGGAACACTAAAAGACTTTTTAGTATAGACAAATTTGTACACCTTATCTACTGCTGTCATTAATGTTCAAGGTGAACATTATTCCACTCTAAAAACTGAGCACATACCTATCCCCAAAGAATGTAACTGAATTCTCCCACACCAGTATGTGATATGCTTGTCAAAGAAATGTGGACAGTATATGAGGAAATGTTGATCTAAATTTGTCTAATTTAGTATTCTAATTTCATATTCTGAATCACCTTTTCATAAAAGAATTTGAATAGAAATACAGTTACTTAACATTGTTTTCTTTAGAATTTTATGTGGCAAAACTTTATGTTCTTATAGTTTTTTGTTTCAGTTGGTTCAGATGAATAACAGCTCTTTTTCTCTTTTGAAAAGTATCAACAGCAACTGGGGTATGTTAACAGAAAGATCTAAAAAGGTATATACTTTACCTGTTTCATGAACTGTGTAGCATTAAAAAGCTCACTGCAGCCATACAGAATGTGTTTGCCTTGTTTTGCCTGTGTAAAAAAAAAAAAAGATCACAAATACAATTTAGATGTGAGTAAGAAACAATTATTTTTGTTATTTTCAAGAAAAGAGATTACCCTGATAAGACACTTATATTTACTCTTAAATATCCTTTATTTTTTTCTCTTTTGTGGGTGGTGGTATTGGGTTTTAGTGTACATATCTATCCCAAAATTGCATGAAATAAAGACAACTAAACTGAAAAAAAATGGGCACAAAATGTTTTTATTTTTCAAAAATACAGACACTGTGGCACACTATTGTTGTCATTTCCTATTATACTGTTAAGTCGTTCAGAAAGTAATGATATATTTTTCTGTTTTTATTTGCCAAATGGATCATGACTTTCCTAAATACCCAATAAAAACAGAAAGAATCTAATGACTGATACATTTTACAAATTTATCTTATTCATGAATACTGTACACCTGCACATCAGAGAAAGAAGCATCCTTGACATATTTTTGTCACACCATGATCAACTTCCTCCAGCTCATAAGATCATGAACATGCATGTGCATACCCAGCATGTTTCAGGTAGACAAGGTGAGGTTCTGAACCCACTCCTGCTTGTAGCACTGCAATTCAGTAACGTGCCACTGAGGCTAGGCCAATTATCTATAAAATCATAGCCCAACATTCTTTTAATGTTGGTTCTATACTACTTGAAGAAACCATTCTTCATGTTTTGTCATGCAGAAAATAGGACACAGTGCAGGTAGCATGGGTTGTCAATTCAGTCTCATGTAACACAGTATATGTTAATATGAGGGGACTTCAAAAAGTTTGTGGAAAAATGAAACTAAAGCATGAGCTTATTTTGGTGCAAAAAAATTGAAATACATACAATGTTTTCATAATACACATTTTCCATGAGTTTTATGAGGATTACTCAGTTGACCCATTTTACTTTGTAACTATAAATTTTGCTTCTGATTTTGGCAAAATACTGGCACCTAATCATCAGAGCCAACCTTTGAAAAGGTTTTTGCTACAGAGCGCGTGTGCTCGCGCCATAAAGACAGAGACAGAGAGACAGAAAGCGAGAAATCACCTGGGGGATGGCCAAGTCGCAATCCCTTCTCCTGTATTCTCCTCTCGGGATCCTGGGCACGCATCCACATGTGCCCAATGTGAGTTTAAGCCACTGGGTCCGGGACTCAAACCGTGGTTGACTACATGGGAGTCCAGTGACTTAGCTACTACGCCAATTGCTGATCCCAGCCAAAACTTAACCTCAGAATTTTGTTAAGTTCTTATAGGTATAGTGAACTTGAAGGTAAATTCATGAGATTTCTTTCATAATACAAAAAGTGTTTTCTATAACAAAGACCCTGTTAAAAACAACAGTTTTGGGGCCAGTAGATGGCATAATGGTTATGTCACTGGTCTCCCATGTAGTCGACTACAGTTTGAGTCCCTGGCCTGGTGGCTTAAACTCATACTGGGTGCATGTATGTTCATGTGAGAAATCCTGAGAGGAGAATGGAGAAGGGACTACAGTGTGGTCCTGCCCCCTGGAGGGTGAGTTCTCATTTTCTCTGTCTTTCCAGCGAGTGCACGCAAAGGTCTCTATTAAAAAAAAAAAAAAAAGGGAACAACAGTTTTGAAATCTAAGACAGTAAATATCCTAACTAGTAATTTTTGAGAATAAAATGAGAGTCACACTTCTTTTATTTTCAAAATGAGATGGCATATAAGGACGTATAATCGGGATTCTTGAGGCTGTACAGGATGTACTCCACATGAGGCTGTGATATAAGTAATGGTAATAGAAGAAGAATGAAAACCTAATAAACACTAGAGAGCTAGCTTGCTTGCTTCCTTTTCTCTTTTTAATTTTACTAGAGGGTGTGGGTCCTCACCAGAGACAGTGAGAAGGAGAAAGAACTTCCCTGCTCCCCCATGGGACATGGTCATGCTGCAATTACTTCTCTATTTGTCCATCCTGTTAGGATTTTAGAGACAAGTATGCACACGTGCCCAGTGTTTTTTATTCCAGCTGCTGGGGTTGAGATGTGAACCATGTGGTTGACCATGTAGGACCTGATTCCCTTAACCACCAGGACATGGGCCTGCCTTCAACCTACATTTTCTATTAGTTTATTTCTGTGTTGCTAATACAAATACCTGAGACTGGGTAACTTATTAAACCAAAAAAAGAGGTTTACTGACTCTGATTCTGTGGCTGCAACATTGCCAACAGAAGCAAAAAGAGATAGTGAGTACACGTGGACTGTGAGTGAGCTGCAGGCAGCACTGTTTTTGTAACAACTCTCTTGAGAGAAATCAGTTTATTGAGAGACATTACTTTATTCTTGAAAGTTGTCTCCATAGCCCAATCACTGCTCACTAGGCCTCACCTCTCAAACTCCATCACACTGGAGACTAAATTAAAAAAATATGAATCTCTGGAAAACTGTTACCCAAACCATAATAGCAAGCTTCTGCAAGTTGTCCCCTAGTTTACAGGGGACTCTACCACAGGACTATTTTCATTATTAGGTAGTAGACTTTATTCGGGTTTGGCCAAATGTTAGTGCTAAAGTTCCCGGAATTCCTAGCAATAAGCTCAGACTGTGACAGACCAGCTGAGATTAATCTTGTACAGTCCTCACTCTTTCTGCCCTTACCCTCACCCAGGCTTGCTTAATCAAATCACTGATAATTCTTTTGGTATATTTTACAACATTTAAACAAGAAAAACAAAACCAGAAAACAAGATGTCTAAAATCTAAAACCCTAATCTATGGTGTCATCCAATGAGGTACAGTTATAATTTTAAAGAAACACTTTAGTTGACCAAATAGTCCACTGCAAATCTGTTTCTAATAATATGTTTTGCTTCATACTCACAGGCTGTACTGATATGGGTAACTATTGATGGGAAGCTGCCAGTGACCTATTAGTTTAGTTCCTCCTGAATAGGGGTAAATGACAGGAAAAAAGATGAAGATAACTTGTAACAAAGAAAACAAACTAACAGGGATTTAAAAAACAAACAAACAAACAAACAAACAAACACCTTTCAGGACAAATTGAAGTAGTTACTCAAAATTCAATGAATATAAAGGGCATTTATGAAAATATAAAATTAAAAAATAATTCCTTTGACAATGGCATAAAATAATACAGGGATTTAATGAAATATGTAAAACTAATACTCTTAAAACTATAAAAGACTGTAGAAAAAAATAAAAGATATAAATAAACGTAAAAACAGCTCGTGGGGACAGACTGTCCTTTTTGCTACAGCTGCCGCCAGGTCCATCCTCAGGCCTCTGGGCAGTAAGGGACACTGAGGCAGGGGCACCACTGCCCCACCGCCTCACTTCCAGGCTCCTCAGCTCAAGACCCACCCAGACCCCTAGGCAAGTAGGCAGTTTTTATCTTTTGTTTGTTTTCCTCCATTCTTTTGTTAATACCCTCTCTTCCTTTCCCCCCAGACCTTCCTTTTTGCTGCCGCAGCCCCCAGGTCCATGTCCAGGCCACTGGCTAAATCGCACCCGTGACTTTTTCTTTATTTTTCTTTACTCCCCTCTGTACTCTTTTCTTTTCTCTTATATTATCTTCTTTTCCTCATCTTCCACCTTGCCGGAGGGACTAGCTAGGTCTAGAGTCAGAGATCTGAAATTTTCTAGTAAGATAAGGTTCTCTGGGATCCTCCCTTGTACTGAACCAGCTGTGAAAAAGGAGATACTGCTCTTCAGAAACCTGAATAGATTATCTTTCTTGAGACCACATTACTAAAAACAACAGAACAGAGACTTCAGCACACATTAATTCCCAGCAAAAGGGAAACATACTCCTAGTCAGTGAAACATTCTCCTAAGATGTATTCAAAAGTGATTACATCTTCCAATGGCTAGAAGTAGAGCCTCAGGTCTGAATAAACAAGGAAATATGTCTCCAACAAAAGGAACAAAGTAACTCTCCCCCCCACCTTTCATGAAAATGGAGGACATTACCAAAATGTCAGAGAAAGAATTTCGAACATCCATGGTGACCCAAATTCTATGAGTTGGAACAGAAAAGAGACAATGAACTACAGGAGATTAGGAGGTCCTTTCACAATATGAAAGAAGAAATGGACACTCTGAGAAAGAACCAGATGACTATTATAAATGAAGTCTGTAATAGAGGAAATCAAAAACTCTCTTGAAAGTATTAAAAGTTGGTTGGACCATGCTGAAGACTGAATCTCCTATGTAGAAGATGAAACCTCTGACCTAGAAAAAAACACCAAAAAGATAGAGAAAATAACACACACACGAAACCCCACGAGGATAATATATGAGAAATACTAGACTCCATAAGATGCCCAAACATCAGAATAACTGTTATCCCAAAAGGTGAAGAAACTAATAATGGAATGGAAAATCTATTCCATGAAATTCTGGAAGAAAATTTCCCAAGTCTAGAGAGGCACTCAAGCATGCAGACCCAACAAATACAAAGGACCCCAAATAGAATCAACCCCAGAAGATCTTCCCCAAGGCACATCTTAGCCAGACTGTCCAAGACCACAGATAAAGACATGATACTAAAACTGGCAAGAGAGAAACGAGAAGTGACTTACAAAGGTCGTCTTATCAGGCTAACACTGGACCTCTCAACGGAAACAATGCAAGCAAGGAAAGAATGGGAAGATGTATTGAAAGTGTTAAGAGAGAAACAATTTCAACCAAGATTATATCCTGCAAGATTATCCTTCATATGGGAAAAAAAGATTAAACATCTTCTCAGACTAACAAAACCTAGAAGAATTTGCCAACACTAGACCAGCTCTTCAATAAACCCTGAAGAAAGTACTGTTCTAGGAAAACTAAAGAATTAACTGACAGAAACAAAGGAATAAAAGGCAACTAAGACAATGGCCAAATTAAATGTCAGGACAGATCCAGTAACATTGAGAATAACACTGAATGTTAATGGATTAAATTCTCCAATCAAGAGAGACAGACTGGCTGAATAAAAAACAAAAACCCTC